TGGCTGTGTCATACCGCATGGAACCACCGTTTCACCATCCGAACATAACCATAGACCATTGCATCCAAAAACATGGCAGCACAAACCAGCACAGAAGTTGTGATCGGTTCGTTTGAATCTTTTTGACTGGAGCTGCAATCGACGAACACTTCCGTCACCGCAATAAAAGGCTGCAATCTCCGCTCCAGTCCGTAAAACAGGTCAGGATGTTCACACTTCAGAGCGATGGCGAATACAGTTTCTGCCTACTTCCAGCTGTCTGGTGGCAAGGATGGTTTTCCGCGGGGAGGTATAGAAAAGCTGAAAAAGCGCATTGTTAGCTTGAATTTGAGTAGTCGCACTTTCAACACCGGCACTTTTGCTCGTGTGCAAAGTATAATCGTGAGCACACGGGCCCCAGCCAAGTTAAAAAATCAGTTGCAAGCGTGTGTCAAAGTTTATCGTATGCGAGTAAATATCCTTGGAAATGGTACGACGGGCCGTAAGCATACTGCCCACCAAGGGCGCCCATATGGTCGACTTGGCCAGTAACCTGCCCGCTGCGGGCGCATGAATGGCCGCCAAGGCCAACAGCTTACCCATCGAGAGTAAAAGCATACGGCCCAACCAAGGGCGCGCGAGAAGCGTATAGCCGAAGCGAGGGCGCATGATTATAGCCCGACCGAGGGCGCATGATTATAGCCCAACGGAGGGCGCATGATTATAACCCGACAGAGGGCGCAGGATTATAGCCCGACCGAGGGCGCATGATTATAGCCCGACCGAGGGCGCATGATTATAGCCCGACCGAGGGCGCAGGATTATAGCCCGACCGAGGGCACATGATTATAGCCCGACCGAGGGCGCATGATTATAGCCCGACCGAGGGCGCATGACTATAGCCCGACCGAGGGCGCATGACTATAGCCCGACCGAGGGCGTATGACTATAGCCCGACCGAGGGCGCATGATTATAGCCCGACCGAGGGCGCATGATTATAGCCCGACCGAGGGCGCATGGCTGTAGCCCCACCGAGGGCGCATGATTATAGACCCACCGAGGGCGCATGATTATAGACCGACCGAGGGCGCTTGATTATAGCCCGACCGAGGGTGCTTGATTATAGCCCGACCGAGGGCGCATGATTATAGCCCGACCGAGGGCGCATGATTATAGCCCCACCGAGGGCGCATGGCTATAGCCCCACCGAGGGCGCATGATTATAGCCCCACCGAGGGTGCATGATTATAGACCGACCGAGGGCGCATGATTATAGCCTGACCGAGGGCGCATGATTATAGCCCGACCGATGGCGCATGATTATAGCCCGACCGAGGGCGCATGATTATAGCCCGACCGAGGGTGCAAGAATAAGCGTAAAGCAAAATCGAGGGCGTGTGAACGGCCGCCGAGGCCAGCAACCTGCCTACCGAAGCCTAAAGCATACCGCCCAACCGAGTGTGCACAACGGCCGTCGAGGCCAATAGCCTGCCCACCGAGGGCTAAAGCAAACTTCCCGCCAAGGGCTAAAGCGTAGTACCCACCAAGGGCCAAAGCATGCTGCCCACCATGGGCCGATTATATACTGCCCACCGAGGGCTAAATCATACTGCCTATCGAGCAAATGAACAGCCACCGAGGCCGACAACCTGCCCGCCAAGGGAAAAGCATACTGCCCGCTAGGGCCGAAATTATACTGCCCAGCGAGGGCAAACGAACGACCACCGAGGCCAAGAACTCACACAACTGCCTGGCATTAGGCGTCACACCACACGCATACGATATGATGCCCGATTGCACCCAAAAAAAGTGATAAACCTAGAAGGCATGGCACCCCCACTATGGAAGGTGTATTTGTACCGTCAGCATTATACCTATGCATAATCATATGATGCCGCCGCTACCTCATGAATTGCTCTGACCAGGGTACACGGTACCGGCTAGCAAAGCAGTATAAACTGTGGCTTTCACAGTATCCACGAGAACTCGCTCACCTTTTACACATCCGCGTATTCTCTTCCTACACAGGCATATAACCTCATACAAGCTCGCCAGGAACGCCCCCACACACACACCACCCCGCACACACCTTCATAAGCACGCACCAGCGTTCTCTCGACCGCCTCGCATTCATGTGACAGAGAATAGATGCCCGTAGACCACCACAAGCTGCTCGTGTGAGCCCACTTACTGGCCCGATTGTCGCCAACACTGCATACAGCGTGTCGGCCTAGAAAAGCACATACCGTACCAGCAAACAGGCCATCTTGCCCCGCCCTGATGGCTGCTTTCGCCTTAGCCACTCTAGCAGTAGCCACACACTCTCACCACCCGCACTTCTGCACCTCATCCATCACTTCACACGATAGCATACGCGCCTGCCACGTGCACATCCACATAGGTACAGCACACAGCACACGTCCATATCCTCACCACTGCCATACCTGCGGACTACGCACTCACACTGCTCTAAGATGCTGGCGTGGGCCCACATACCAATCACTAGCACTGATACTGGCCTGGGAAAGTGCAAACGTTGGCCATCAGTTCCAGGTTAGCTCATTCTATTGGCTACTAGCCTGCCCGGCGCTGAGCCATGCATAATGCGCCTCCAGATCACATCTGGTGCGTATGCACGTGCAAGCTGGGGATCCAAGCCATAGAGCACTTTCCTCCTGCCCGATTTATCTTGGTGGGACGCGTGGCGGTTGTTGGCGCAAACTTGCACAACATTGTCAGCGAGCCTTTGAGCACATTGCGTTTGTTGGCCAAGTTTCCCCAAAAAGAGAAGGGCCCAGGTAACACTGAACGAGGCGACGGTAGTAGACTGATGGTCAATCCAGGACAGGGTGGGTTGCCCACGCTATCAGCCAGCATACTGCAGTCCTGGCGAGGCAATGTATGTGCATAGCGTCAAGATGTACAGCGTCTTATCACCATATTCAGGTGCGATCTCACTCTCGGCCAGCAAACCATAGAGTTGACGCGGGCGGCCACCACGCGAATGAATAGTTAATGACATGCTGAATGCAAACAAAACTAGACTCCCGAACAAAGCGTCGACCAGCGAGTGCAGAAGCCGGTAGTGACTGCGGAGCGAATGGAAGCACAAGCCGTAATGCACTGATCGGGCCTCAAAAGGAGCAGGCAGGCATTTTTTGTTCAACATATGCTTGACAGAAAGATTAGCACGGCAGGCACAGATACGTCGGCATGAATGCGTGCGTGCACACGGCAACCATGACTTGCCCCCGGCGGGGCAAGGGTAGGTAGTGAGTAATGACCGACCATATCAACAGAAAGCAATTTGCTGCCGCTATTCGATGTCACCCACAGGCGACAGTGGTGTCAGAACCTGCGGGGCAGGGTGCACCAAAGCACCTTGTAGTGGGTAGTCAGAATTCAGAGGCATTGAAAACTGCTCTCCGTTGGTTACGTGGTATGTCGAAAGTTCCTCACCGCACGCCCGCGCAGCAGCTGGGGCGTCTCGTCCCCTCGGTGGTAGCAACAGCTGCTCTGCCAACAGTGATCCGATGGACAAGTACCATCCCGACTGATAAATGGTCTTCCGGATGATCAGCTACGCTATCAAGTCTGCTCTGGAGACGCGGGGTGAATTCGGAACTGCCACCGAGATTTCTGATAACGGTGGCCACGATTTCTAACGAACCGCTCTGGCCAAATTGCCAAGCACAACGTTTGCGCAACTCGCGAACCGTGACATTACAACGATTCCCACGCGGTATGGCCCGCATAGCCGATGGGCCATCTCATCCCCCCAGCAGTGACAACCGCTGCTCTTTCAACACTGATACGACGAACCCGTACAGTCCTGAACGACAACTGGGGTTAGGATGATGATGATGATGGGCGCGGCAAAACTGCTGCACTGGTAACAGGGGAAAATGTGTAGCCACTCCCATGCCAAACTCAAAGTCGTATCCGCACGGCCCAGTTGATAAATTGATAGGGCTTCGCCTGTCGCTCTGTTGCCAGAGTTGGAGCTAAATGCAAGCACTATGCTGGACGTGCTGTGTACAATGGACACTTGGAAATCACTGCGACGACAACCAGCTGCAGTGAATTATTCCAGTTTGCATCTTGCCTTGAGTATCTTGGCGACTTGTGGCTTTAGTAAGTGAGTTGAGTTTGATATCTACTACTGTGATACTGGACACTGGATACTGTAAGTCTACAAATTATCAGCACGTTTTAAATTTCAGCATCCGCAGGCCAAAATCCTTTTCGGCCCCATTAAAATTCTGCCTATACAGCTCCTGCCTGTATATCCTGTCATACTGTATAATGCATGTTACAATTTCAAACAAATCCATCCTGACAACTCTCAGCTCCATAGGCACATCAGGGCCACTTCCATGTCCTTTCCAAACTCTCCTATCATGCCTTGGAAACGCCACAACAACTCAGTCTAGCATTTTTTTCAGCTTCTTGCTCAAACTCAACCGATTTTCACAATTCTTACTGCTCTGAAAAGCTGAGGTCCATTCACTTTTTTATGCCCATCCCGCGTGCCCCGCGCTAAATTGAAATGCCCTGGTATTTTCCAAAAAAATACAAGGTCTGAAACCAGAAAATTCGCGCTTACTCTGTGCCGTGAGTTCCTTGTTCATCTCGTTGCCTCTACTGCTCTAGGTTCATCTTTGTCCTGTCATTTTTGTTCTGTCATCTTTGTGACGAAAAACCAACATCTATCCTGTATATCACAGTTCATTTCACCATGGTAGTAGAAGCCACACCGACATTTATTTTGGGGGGGATTACGAGTGCTTAAATTGCGGCTTATGTTCCGGAAAATACGATACGGAACTAAGGAAGAGAGAGAGACAGAGAGAGAGAGAGAGAGAGAGAGAGAGAGAGAGAGAGAGAGAGAGAGACGGAGAGAGAGAGACGGAGAGAGAGAGACGGAGAGAGAGACGGAGAGAGAGAGACGGAGAGAGAGAGACGGAGAGAGAGAGAGAGAGAGAGAGAGAGAGAGAGAGAGAGAGAGAGAGAGAGAGAGAGAGAGAGAGAGAGAGCATGTTAAACAAATATGTGTGATTTGTGCCTCTGTTTTTTTCTGACTCTCTATGAAGGAGGCCAAGCAGCTGCAAGCAGGTAAGTGACAAATCAATTCTCAAACTTCTTTTCCGCCAAAAAGTTACGAATGACCAGTGATGCACACGAATAGTCGAATAGTAATAAAGTTCGTTTGAAGAGCTGTACAATCATGTTCTATGTGTGGCATGCATGCTAGTTTTGTACGAGTACATGTGGACCCTGCGCTAACGGCAGTAGAGCTAGGGCCGCTGCTACAGATTACAGTACAGCGGTTACCGTACGTGTACTTGACGACGAATCCAGCCTGTGTGAGCGCGCGCCAAACAGTTAGTAGTAGTAACAATACAGTGCCGGCACTGTAGTACAGTTGCAAAGGACACGTGTAGTTGTACGAGTACAGTGCGTGCACTGTACTGTTGCGAAGTGGGAACCCATAATGCCTTCTTCTTTACTACTTTAGTTCGGTCCAACTCACCCCTCTCTTTCACGTTGAAGAACCGCCTGGACATCCAGTTCGTTTTTTGTGATGGCTTCTGGCACAGCTGGTCATAGCAGCTCCGTTTAGGAGCACTCCGAGAAAGTTGATGGAGGCGCAAACATTGAATGCAAACTCTGCGAGACGAAGCTCGAGTTCAATGGCTCGGCTACGAGCTCAATGCGGGATAATCTTCCCCGACGGCATGTTACTTGCTCGACGGCTGTAGCTGCCACGGATGCGAAGGTGTCCCAGGCGAAAAGCGCAGACGCAATGCAGAAGTTTCTGGGCCGTCAACAATTTCAACGAATACTAGAATATTCGTTCGTTGCCAGATTTGGTATTTGATAGAGTATTCGTTCTTGAAAACTGGGTTAGTGTGCATCACTGGTTGGAATACTATTTAGCATCCAATCCCTCACATATTCACACTCAGTCAGGGCAACAAGAACTGGCTTTGGAGACAATGTGTTACTTCGAGTAAATGGTCTCGTAATGCAAGAGCTCGAAGAGCTGGCAAGCAATGCTAGGCCGCTAGCAGCAAATTGCTCATGATGAGCAGCAACTAACGAAGCAAATGTCCAGTTGGAAGCAATAGAGCTGTATGTCCCCAAGTAGTACCATTAGCATGAAGATATGATGGCAGGGTTCTAGCCAGGTCAAAATAGTAGGAGGGGGGGGGGGGGGGGCATGGGAAACAGTTACCCCGTAACCAATTTTTGCATTTTCCGAATTTGTCTTGCCATGCAAAATTCAATGTACGGGGCAAACCCCCGACTTCACAACAGACAAATGTGCCTTTATGAATCCTCCAGTAGTGACTATCCACTACACGTTTCGTTGAATGGCATCAAAAAAGCCCGAGGGTAAATAGCAGTGTTGCAGCGAATATTCGAATAATTGAACATCTTGTTTTTTTTGCGCTGCACAGAATATTCGAACGTGCGAGTCAGAAGTCGAATGTTCGAAATGCTACACTTTGTGTACAGCTTTCCGTACAAAGGCTAAATTCGCTCATCGCAGCACGCTCGCTGCGTTCTTGCATCGTAGAATGTGCAACAGTCACTGCAATTGAGCAGCAAACGACATCGTCCACATATTGTCGCTTACCGCTAATGCTGCCCAGTTTGACTTACGCGCCGTTTGTAGTTTGCACCTTCGCAAGAAATACTTATGTTCTTCTTCGTAGTTTGTAGCAGTTCCTGGTTAGTTTCGAATCGTATCAGTCCGCTTTGCTTAGTTTCGAGTCGGTAGAAATCCGTGATGTCGGATCGTAAAGCTAGCTCCGTGTGGGAGAGTTTGAGAGACTTGAGACTTCTGTTTCCTTCGCAAGTCCACAAAATAGTTAATCCTGCGCATGGAACCCGAGGATGTCGTCTTCTTCCGCTCCGAAGTATATTAGGGTCTTCCTTCGATACATCGTTGACGATCCATTTTAGGAGACTCAGTGCAACATGGAATCCAAACTGAAACGAATAAATTTTCATGTACTTGCAACAAAGAGTTAAATCCAGAACAGTCCAGTCTACCGAGGAGAACTTTGTATTTTTTTGTCGCGGAATTCAAATCGCGTTTTCTCGACTTTTCCACAAAAGCTGTGGTCATGTCTTAGCACGCGCTGGCTCAAATAAACAAGGAAGCATAGTGTGCTGAAATGGGCTCGTCTGTATGGGTAGAATAGTAGAATATTCGTTCGTACTGTGCATATTTGTTAGAATATTCGTTCGTGATTTGCTATTCTTTGCAACACTGGTAAATAGTGATTATTGGGTGAACAGGGCACATTTTAGTGCTCTTTTATTGCTTGTTTTTTGGATGAATTGGGCGCAGCATCCGGTGCGAAAAGTGGTACAAGCATGGTGGTACTGGTGGTACCGTGTGTGACGCCCCTGGACTCTAAAACCCAGTGCCTCAACTGTAGCAACACCATAACAGGTGTCTCCTGTCTGCCAATATTCTGGTGATGGAGTGGTTATTGTGCGGGAAGCAATGCCTTTCAGACACACCGTAAAATCGGCACTCAAGCGGGCTTTCTCATAATACGAGTGCATGCAGTGAAGATGCACTCTCACTTATTTTGCATTCCTGTTGCCTGTACTGTATGATTTCTTGTTAGTAATACAAAATAAACAACAAACTGTAAATCAGTGGCGGATCCAGGGGGGGGTTCCGGGGGTTCCATGGAACCCCCTAAATTTTGCAAAGTGTGCGGCTGAGAAATATCGAAAAATATCATTGTGCACAAAAGGACGTCCGTCCGATCAGATTCACAGTCAGTGCAGTCACTGAGTCAAGGAGCGCGTGCGGTAGATCGATACTGACAGTCTGTACGGATAGTAGTCTGTACTGGTGTTCACGTCCGTGATTTACAGACGGACACTGTTGTGTAGACAACATTGGGTGGCTGTTTCCTTTTTGATCTTTCGAAACGATCCAAACTAATTACTTGCCTCCATTGGCGCTGTCATTCACTGCTGCTCGGGATGGGTGTGGTGTGGTCAGTATTCCTTGGACAAGTTTTTTGCAGAAGAGAAAAGATGTTCCGAGTACTGAAACTCTTCAACGATCTTCGAACCGTACACATAGAGTTCAAGCTCCTCAGAAGATGAGGGCTCCGACATCCAAGCAAAGTCAGTAATCTCTACCTGCTGCAGCATGCAGTAGTGACTAGTTGTTCCTCCGCAGGAACGGAGTGCTGCGCCAGCGATGTGTTTTAGATGACATTGAAAGGATTGTACAATAATTATTGTCGACACTGTTTCGCTGTTGTTGTTTCTGTCACTGAAGTGAAGACGATGCTCTTGTCCTGTGACTATAGAGCATTTCGCATCGTAAAATGCCAAAAATTTCCGAAAGTACAAATGGACAGGGAAAGTAACTTATAGTTGTCATTTCGGCATTCCTGGCTCTCAACGTACCCATGGCTTGCATATTCGATCTTTACAAGAAGTTGAAAGGGTCTTCAAGCCCTCACTGAACCGGTGTGCCAGTCGATTGCATACATGTATATGATTATGTGTCCGTACTAAAAAATATACAATGTAGGGTAAGCAGCAGTAATTGGCCCTGCACAGGTTTTCCATCGTCCACCGCACCACAACTGCGCTCCGACTCAGTTTCCAGCGGTGTGTGGTAGACGGGGTGCTCTGGCAGTACTTTACGGTACTAAGTATGTCCGTAGTGTGTGTTTAAAAGCATGCGATTGCCACTAACACAATCGGATTGTCGTAATTACAACTTAGTGTCAACCGCACAACTTCAAAACAATCTGATTCCATAATATTTTGTAGGGCTGAAAGTTCGAATATTCGAAATATGCAAAGCGGAAAAAGAATAATCTTCGTTAAAGTAGAATAGGAATATTCGTAAATGTACAGAAACTCGCCTTTTTGACATCGATCAAGGTTATTTGGTGCAAAATATAAGTAGGCTTGCCTTTTTCGATGTGCTATAATCAGCAAGACACATGATTTTTCAAATGTCTCTCTTGTAATTGGGGTGTATGCCAATTAATGGTCTATGGTTACCATGGATAAAACTAGGTATCCATGGAAATTGCACGGTTTCGAATATTCGGAATATTCTTCGTTTCGCATGTATTCGGAAAAAGAATATTCGTTCGCTTCATTGAGCATTCGTTTCAGCCCTAATATTTTGGTTGTTCAATTTTGGTTCAACCGGAACCCCCCTGTAGAGATCTCTGGATCCGCCCCTGTAAATGTCACCTGCAGTTACACAACATGTTTGATGTGTGCTGTGTTTATCGTTGTGCCCAGGAGATACTGCTGTTCTGCCAAGTATCAGTGAACTCGAAGCAGCAGAGCAGGAGGCAGCCCGGTTGGGCGGTACGACCGTCATCCATTTCCTGCACGTGGTCATACTTGGAGCGGCACGCGTTGGAAAGACCAGCTTGCTGAAGGCGTTGCTTGAGAAGATGCACAATGAGAATGAACTCAGCACACCCGGCATGCGCACGTCCTACGCAACTACAAACATCTCTGATGACTGTCGATTCATCGAATGCCCAGACATGCCAGATGCTCTGAGTCGACTCTACGTCATCACCATGATGTGCAAACCATCCACTTCGAATCATCCCCAAGACAAAGAGACAACACAAGATGACAGAGAGAGAGCCCCAGCAGGAGAGGATCCTGTGGCTGGGACCCATGCAGGACCTATGGAGGACAGCAGTAGCAGCAGCAGCAGAAGCAGCAGCAACGGGCCAGCAATGCGCGAGGAAATCCACGAGACCATCACAGGATTTCTCAACGCAGACCGGGTAAAGTACATCTCTGACCGGGCCAACACGCCCAACTATACCGTCATCACATTCCGCGACCTTGGAGGGCAGCAAGTCTACCAATCCGTGCAGCCCCTCTTCATGGCCAAAAACACAACCTTCATTGCCACATACAACTCTTCTCTGGACCTTCTAGAGACCCTTCCCAAGCTTGATGAATTTCAGGTCAGCCGGGAAGAATGTATCGAGCGGGCCACTCTACCGGCCAATGCGACTCGCCTAGACCAGCTGCTCGGCTGGCTCGACATGCTGCTGCTGAATGCGAAAGCTGACAGCAGCACAGACCAGAGTGCTGCAGATGATGTGTTTGTAGTGGGGTGTCAGAGTGACAGGTGGAACAAAACCGATTTGCCTGATCCTTGTAAGCTACTTCAAGAGAAGATAAAAGGTACGCGGTACCAGAACCTTGTCTGGAACGACACTTCGCACTTCAAAATCGACAACACCAGATCCACTGGAAGTGCAGGACAAGCAGATGAGCTGCAGCGATTGAGAGAGGCCATCATCGACCGCTGCCAGAAGAGCCAACGTAACATCCCTGTTCCATGGCTCCGATTCTGCATATCCATACACACGCTCAAGCAGGAGGTCACTTGGCCTTGGATTTCCTTCAAGGAGGCAAAGTTCATAGCGAAGCAAATCAAGGCTGTTCCACATGACTGCAGTGACCGGCAAATACAGCTGCTGCTGAAGTACTGCCACGAAGCAGGCCACCTGGCGTACTTCCCAACTTTCAAGCTGAAAGACACGGTCATCCTGGAGCCCCAGTTCATCCTGGACTGTGTCAATGCCTTTGTCTACATGAAGCCTGACCGAGACATCACAGTGCACGAAGCGCGGTGCTATCGTTCTGGGTTCATGACGGAGTCCCTGGCACGCAAAGCTCTCAACAAGATGTTCGAGGGTCAGTCTTACTGCGACCATGCTAAGGCGTGGCAAGCAGTCAGAGCAAGCAGTGATGGGTTCAAGCTCATTTTTGAAATCCTAGAATGGCTCTCAGTCCTGGTAATTGTGCAGGATGAGAGGTCTGCTGAGCACGAGTTTATTGTACCTGCAGTCGTCCTGGAGATGGGCACGGACCCGCAAACGCCTTGTTCCTGTGCCTATGTGTCCGTGAAGCACACAAACCGAGATGAGTTGATGCACTTTCCCGTGTTCCTGTATTGGCAATGCGTGGTGGAGGTGCTGCTTAAGTCACACAAGCGCTCAGCTGCCACACTGTCACGGTGCAGCGTTCGCCTTCGCTGGAACAGAGATTGGCCGTGGCTGCACCTGCACTATACACGCTACGGCTTACAAGTGTACGTCGAGTGCAAGGGCCGACACGGCGGTAGCGGAAAGTCTACGCTGGATGAAGTCCGGGCAATCGTGCTCACAGTGGTACGGAAGTGGGGCCTGCAGGTCGAAGTGATCAGCACATTGCCATGCCCCTGCGGAGAAACATCGGGCGAGGAGTGTTTACAGCATGGCTTATCTACGTGCCGCGCGCCAAGCTGTGCGCACGCCTTGGACGCTTCCACCCTAGTGGCTGAAGACTACCCACTGTGTACACGTTCAAATCCGGATATACAGATGATCCGTGAGCAGGCCATGTTCTGGCTGGGCCTTGACCAGGTTAGAAACTTGACCTGATTGAATTCCCGCAGCTATGCAATAAACGTTACGTTAGTAGCGCCTGCCGCTAGCTTTACTTCATATGTTTTTTTTGGGGGGGGGGGGGGCACGAACCATGAGACAAGTTCCACTAGGCCTTGTTGTAATTCTGTTTATCTCTGTTTAGGACGAGAGTTCTTCACACACAAAGTTGCACCATGTCTCTATTTTCTTAAAACTTGCCACATATTCCCGTCATGTTAATGAGGAGATAACCATTTTGAGCCTACTCTGACTTCAGCGATTATGGCTTGTGCGTGTGCGTGTTTGCATGCATGTGTGCTTTTGCTCGTGTGTATTTACATGTATGTGTGTGTGTGTGTGGTGTGTGCGCGTGCGGGTGTGTGCGTGCGGGTGGGCGTGTGTGTGTGCGGGCGTGTGTGTGCGTGTGGGCGTGGGCATGTGCTTGCGTGTACTTGGTCTCTTGCAATACCTGCAGGGTGCATGTGGAAAGCTGTTTGACCCGAGATCGGCCTCTCTTCCTTCAGGTTAGTTGGATGCACAATACAAACAGATCTGGTACTTCCAAATGATGTTTTGCATGATGGCCGCATTCGTGTGAACCTTTAGTCGCAAGGAAACCGGTACGCTGTTCTATTTTCGTTTTGAGTTACCTATTCCCGTTCGGGTATTGAACACGGCATGAGCACAGGACCATATCTGCTGTGGATAGAATGTAAAATTTGAGCCTCTTCTCACCGCAAGCTGGTGTTTGATCCCAGCCAACACTGCAGTTCTGACTCTGTTTTGGGCCCTGGACAACCGACATGTCGTAGAATTGCTAAGGGGTCGCTGTCATATGTTGTCGCCCTGAAGCGAACATCATCCGTGGTAGAGGAGGAGGGTGGGAGGTCGAAAATCGTAACTTGCTCAACAATGCACTACGTGTACATGCACTTGATTTATGGTGTCCAGCATTGCAAACTGTGTTCATTTTGGAGGAGTGAGGGGTGCGTCCGAGTACGAAATGAACCATGTTTGTTTCAGTGGCGACAATAAACTTCTGCAACAAACCGTGTGTGCGTGCCCACCTGTGTGTGTACATGTATACGTTGCATCTGCATGTGTGTGTGTGTGTGTGTGTGTGCGTGCGTGCGTGCGTGCGTGCGTGCGTGTGTGTGCGTGCGTGCATGCGTGCGTGTGTGTGTGTGTGTGCGTGCGTGCGTGCGTGAGTGTGTGTGTGTGTGTGTTTGTGTGTGTGCGTGTGTGTGCGTGTGCGTGTGTATGCGTGCGTGCGTGGGTGTGTGTGGGTGTGTGTGCGTGTGCATGTCTCTTGGCCACTCCAATGGCACGCCGTCTGTTGGCTTGCAGCAGAAGCCTGTGCCAGTGTGGGCAGTAGAAGTGGTGGTCAAGGTGCTGGTGGAAGCGGTCATCACGGCGCTGGTGGAAGCGGTGTTCACGACGCTGAATTCATGTCACTTGGTGCCATTGGGTTAGTAAAGGCTTTCCTCGCAGGTTTATAATATAAATAGGTCAAATACGTTGCCTTGGAGCGGACCAATCAGCCGCTTTCATTAACGAAGCGTTCAGGGTAATGGAAACACTGACAACACGCTGCCTGCACATTTTGTGAGGGGGGGGGGGGCTTTTTGATCACAAAATGCTGCATTGCATTTCAAGACTCCACATTCCACCGAGGTGGGATTCTACTGTCTACGGGGAAGGGGGGGGGGGGGCTCTACTGTCCACTGGGAGGGGGGGGGGCAGGCACTTTGCACTGGGGGGGGGGGGGCTCTACTGTCCACTGGGGGGGGGGGGGGGTGGGGTGGGGGGCAGGCACTCTACTGTCCACATGGGGGGGGGGGGGGGGGGGGGGCACTCTACCGTGTCCACCGAGGGAGGCTCTACTGTTACGGCCCTACCTAGAACGTGGACCTGTTTCTATTTTTTTGGTTTTTTGTGCTGTTCTGTTCTGTATACCACTCTGCACAGCAGTGGAAAGACACTTGATCAGATTGCCAACCGGCATGCGTTTGTTAGCTCGATTGAACCGTTCATCGGTGGAGAGGAGAAAGGCGACGAGAGAGGTTGGTTGCTTTAGGACACCGCGATTCATGTGTATTTCAATGATACCGGGTTGTGAATATATTTTCTCCAGTAAGGATACGGCAGAGTTTTAGCCGTGTGTATGTAGCGAATTATGAGTAAACGTAGTTTGAAGTAGTTCTACAGTCAACCTTATTATCTGGGAGTGTAGGAGCCGTTCGATTGCGGGCCATTTTCGGAAAAAATGAGCGTGAGGCGGGTGGCCTAAATTTCCTTTGTATTTGAACATTCTCGGTGACGTCCAAGTATACTAATTTTGTGGTTCAACCAGTAGCATCACCAGTAGCACCTTCAGCAGCAGCATCACCAGTAGCACCTTCACCAGCATCAGCAGCAGTAGCAGCATCACCAGTAGCACCTTCACCAGCATCAGCAGTAGTAGCAGCATCACCAGTAGCACCTTCACCAGCATCAGCAGCAGTAGCAGCATCACCAGTAGCACCTTCACCAGTATCAGCAGTAGCAGTAGAACCTTCATCAGTATCAGCAGCAGTAGCACTAGCAGTGGCAACTTCAGCTGCAGCAGTATCACCAGTAGCAGCTGCAACAGCAGCACCAGGATCCCCTACAGTGGAAATAGCTGTAAACACAATAGGGTTCTTCACATTCAACACCCAACAGGGGCTACGGGATTCTACAAGATTCTACGGAATTCTGTTCATCTGTACAACATGCATTATGCTTGTACAGTATGCGTTTGTGTATGCTGACGAGTCCCCAAAGGACGAAACAGTTCTGTCCGTAGATTGGGTATGTGTATGTTAAATACAGTGTGTGGTGTCTATAAAAGTATACATGGCATACTGAAATGGAGCCACATGCATGTAGCACAACAGTGATTTAGATGCCAAGAATCCTTGCCAGGTTAGCCATTGCCATGGTATAAGCGTACAGTCAGACCTCGCATAACCGCACACATCCGTTTTCCACAAAAATATCCGGATAGGCGAGGGAACCGGATAATCGAACACACATACTGTATGTAAGCATGGCATATGCTGTACATTTGTAACCAACTATTTTCTTCCGGATGGCGAGGGATCCGGATAAGCGAGGTCTGACTGTACTTAGATCAACCACTGATGATGTACAGGTCCAGACTGGAGTGATGCACATCGACACTCTAGAACCTGCCTGTGTTAACCTTTCGTGTATGGCTGGTCAAATATCATTTTTTTCTCTGTTTGTTCATGTGTGTGTTTTTTATCCCATGTATATTTTGATTAGATGAGGATGAGAAGTCGTACGGCGACCCATTCCGACAGCGTGCGTTTCTAGCCGATATTTTGCCTTGGTTGGGCAAATTACCAGCGGGAACATTTCGTAAGATGGCGCAAGAGGCCGGGTTCTTCGCCGATCTGGAGCAGATAGCAGACTTGAAGAGGATTGAGAAACTAGATGGAATACGCACTCACAACGAAGAGTTGGTCAACATTCTAAGCAGCGAGGAAAAGGCCGGCTACATCAAGCTAGTGCTGATCATCAAACTCTGGGGTAACTATCCCGACAAGGTCGACAAGATGAACCAGCTTCTGCCACGCCGGGCTCGTGTGTAAACGGTAGGTTGCATTCATTTCTTGCACTACCTGAATTCCGAATAAGTCATTGCAACGTACGTCTCTTGTTTAGCTGCGATGCTGTGTTTCTCATTAGATATTGTCCCAGTTGTGATAGAAAGTATGTTGATGAGGTATCCATTGTTCATAAATCAAATTGAAGAAAAGTCAAATTTCCTTGCGACTGGAAATTTGGAGCACATATACTGAGATGTACCATATTTTGCGGAGTGTTAGCCGCACCTTAAAACACCTGAAACTATTTAAATTTCTGTGCGTGAGTGTGGATTTAGGTGTATGTGTATTATCCATATAAAAACCGCTCTGTGAGCGGTTCTGAAAAACCTTTACTGGTGCAGCCCTGTCGTAAAACTATGAAATTAGTACTGGCACTTTATCCCCCCAATGGTCCACCTAAATAGGGAATGACGGGACCCGAACGCACCAGTAGCACAATGTTCCTACCTACACCTGTGGATGCAGATGGGGACGCTGGTCCACAGCCCCATAGTATAGCCTATAGGTAGTGGTGAAACTAATATACCGAATATTCGAATATTCGTTCGGTTTGTCACATTCGAACGGATACTTCTCATGGCGAATATTCGTAAACTCGGTATGCAGAGTTCACGGGGCGACTTCAAACTTCCGTAACTTCGCGAATACTTGACCGAATCGCTTAATCGAAAGGTCTATCGGCATTAGAAAACTCTCGGCTGTCGTCTCGAAGCAACCCAAACGCGATCCGAGGTCCTGGAATGGAGGTACGTCGGTCAAACGAAAAGGCACGTCTCAAGCTGTTTTTTTAGCGTGTAAAATGCACTTCAGCAGGGGATTTTGTGAAAATTGACAGAAATGATGGAGAGCCTTCGTTTGTCATGCCTTAGTGACAATATCCAATAAAATGACTGAGAGGAGGTGTGTGATGTCATCGGTGTTAACGAAAGAATATTCGTTCGTTCGTTCGTTAAGCCGAAGAATATTCGGCTACTGGGTTTTGATATTCGTTCACCACTAGGCCATGCATGGTCGTCGCTGAACTCCCATGTTGGATATCCCACGTTTAGATCTACTAGTACTGGCGAACTTACACGGCCACTGATACCCTGTAGTAGTGGTGGTACCCTACTAGTGAATTAGTTACACTGCCCCTGGTACCATGCAGTAGTGGTGGTGGTACCCTACTAGCGAATTAGTTACACTGCCCCTGGTACTATGTAGTAGTGGTGGTGATACCCTACTAGTGAATTAGTTACACTGCCCCTGGTACTATGTAGTAGTGGTGGTGGTACCCTACTAGTGAATTAGTTACACTGCCCCTGGTACCATGTAGTAGTGGTGGTGTAATCCTATGATCGTGATCCTGTGCCCTCCCGACCTCGTGCTACTGGTGCGTTCGGGTCCCGTCATTCCCTATTAAGGTGGACAATTTCACATAAGGGGATAAAGGGCCAGTTCTAATTTCATAGTTTTACGACGGGGCTGCACCAGTAAAGGTTTTTCAGAACTGCTCACAGAGCGGTTTTTATATGGATAATTTTAGTTGTGGTTTAGCAAACTCGTGCAAAATACCATTCACGGAATGACTACAAGGGGTCAGAGATGCAACTATTGGGAAGACAATTATACACACACCTTAAAAACGTAATGAACTACAAGAATAGAGTGAGTACAATGCGCTCTCGACCTGATAATGTGTTGGAAGATAACAGGTCTACCGTCCCACCGTAGGTCTACCCTTCATCATTCCTCATTCACCATCGCGCGATACCCTGGCATACACTGGCAACATATCAAGGGGTGCCTTACCGTCATCCAGAGCGCACACCTTTGCAGCATTATTTTTCGTCCTGCGCATTCAGTCCGCCGACGCGACAGCGTTTACAGGGCCGTTCCAGTTGCAGAAGACATTCATCGGGCCAGTGCAGCAACAGGGCCGTGGGCACACAGGGGCAGAGGAGAGACATTGTGAGTGGACAAGAAATGTGCAGTGTCAAGTGGCAAGTGCCATGAATGTCAAGTTGTCATTTCTAATTGACCTATCACTTACAGTCCTACCATTACTCGCTCGTCGTGATTCCTCCTCGTTCGTCTTCGTCCACTTCTGCAGTTCTCCTTCCCGTCTGGGGTACCGAAAGGGGCCTACTCGTTCATCTCCGTCGACTTCTGCAGTTCTCCTTCCCGTCAGCTCGACTTCTGCAGTTCTCAACTATTTCGCGTACGGGAAAGTACTCGCGCGACTATCGCGCGATGGCTTTCTCGTACGCGACATCGGCGTTTACCGAGTGGCATTGGCACAAAGCAGACCGCTGAC